TTCCAGAGCAAAGATGCATCTCTACAAAATTGGCTGTAAATTTTTAGGTTCACAGTTGAAGTAATACAGCTATACAATTTTGAATTCAGTATAAATCCTATAAGACATAAAATTGAATGAGGTTTTAACCTTTAAAAAAGATCTCCATTTCATTTTAAAATATACTGTTTCATACAGAAAAACTCATTTTAATGCTACTTAGATGTTTGCACATGCGTCTCTAATTGCTATGTTTCTGATGATATTACTAGTCACAGTTGGTTACTTTCTAAGGTCCACCTGAGCATGGATATAAAATCATCAGGTAGATTTCAGTGGTGATGTATTTCACCTCTCCTAACTAACATGGACCAAGTTTTTATGTTTCTTCCTCAAATATAACTCACTTTTTTTATTTGTTGATTTTTTTGTGTGTATTTCATACAGAACATCCCAAACAATCTTATTAATCTAAATACTCACATCTCAAATGGCACCCTCCCATAGTATCCCTCCACTGAAGATCATATACTCTGTCATCCCTGTTATTGTCCACTGTGTTGTTGGTGCCCCCCAGCTGTTCTCCCGTGCTTGCTCATCTGATGAATCTAGTCAGCCTATTTAGAGTTCCTTGTTTTAACAGGAAGATCAGCTCTTCCTCATCTAGCAGCAATCAGTTGCCAATATTCCTTTAGATAAGACTGGGATCTGCTGTTCATTTTCCCATTTCTATGCTGGGTTATTGTCTGGGAGTCTCTTGGGCCACCTTGGCCAACAACTCAAAAGAAGGTATCTCCTGTCTGTCATTGTTTCTTGTTATGTAGCCTTTATCTATACACATGGACTCTTAAAGAATTATATTGATTCCTTTAATCTTTGGTTATACTTTCCTTTTGGGTGTTTAAGACCATACAGTTGGCCCAGATAAACCAATTTATTTTTACTTTTAAGGTCGTTTGAGGATCTGTTCCTCGGGGGTCACATGGGCTTGGGAGGCGCTCCTAGCTCCTTTCTTTTAGCAGTTCCATCTAAGTGAAGATAAGTCAAAGGTCCTCCTCAATCATGGCTGGCTTCACTTGGAAGCATGGAGGAAATGTTTCCTCTGTGTTGACCCTCCTCTTTGTAGACTGGACACTGGTTCAAGTACATTTGGTGGGGTCTCCATGGTCTCCTTGATCAATAGGACAGGTGACACACCACGGTTACAGGACATTTTGAGAGATGCTCATAGTCTCCTGGAGCTTAGTTGACCTAGGAGGGCAAGGAGCAAAAACTGTCTTTTATGTCCTTCTGACCAAATTAGTATAGGCCTCAAAGTATGGCTGCTAGACATCCAAGAAGGTTAGTTCCACCGCTCTGGTTTCATCTTAACCCCAGTCAGACTGGCTAGATCAACAGCACAAAAGACACCAAATGCTGGCAAGGATGTGGAAAAGGGTAATGCTAATCCACTGCTGGTGGGAATGCAAACTTGTGAAACCACTATGGAAAGCAGTATGGAAAACTCTCTTAAAAATCAAAAAACATATGATCCAGCAATACCATTCTTTGGCATATACCCAAAGGACTCATCCTACTGTAAAGATACCAGTACATTCATGTTTGTTGCTGTTCTTTTTACAATAGCTAAGAAATGGAAACAACCTAAATGTCCCTCAAGGAACAAATGGATAATGAAAATGTAGCATATTTACACAATGGAGTTCTACTCAACAGTAAGAAAAGATGAAAATTATGAAATTTGCAAGTAAATGGATGAAACTATAAACTGTTATACTAAGTGAAATAACACAGAAAAGCAAGCAACATATGTTCTCCCTCAGTTGTGGATCATAGCACCAAATCCTTATATACAAATATATGGTACACCACTCATCAAATAAGCTTCTTTTTGCAGCATATGGAGGCTGTTACAGAGTTCCACAACTGGTCACACACAGACCAATATATATCTGAGATATGCCCAGCCCTAAATGACATATGTACAGTGGAACCTCTACACCTAAGGCCCATGGAACATAGCGGAACAGGGGTAGAGAAAATGCTAATACATCCCTCAACTCTCACCAGAGAAGTTTCCTTATACAACAGAGTGAAGTGCACACAGACGGCTACAATTGACTAAGTTTTAGAGAATAAGAGACTGCAGAGTGCATGTCCCTGGATAGGACTCCTATATTAAACCTCACCCACCCACAGCTCAGGGACCAATGCAGAAGATGGGCAGAAAGACTGTAAAGCCAGAATTGGTGCATGAACATGAGGAAACAGAGGCTTTCAGGCCACTGGGAACTTGCTCATATGAACTTGCAACAATGGTGACTGCATGCACAGACCCATCCTGACTCAATCAGACAAAAATCCAGCATAAAATGAGAGAAATGGGCAGCAGATCCCAACACTATCCTAGGAACTATTGGTGACCGATTACTGCTGGGTGAAGGAAAGTAGGTCTTCTTTAGGGGAGAAACTCTAGAAAGACTGACTAGACTCCAATGAATGAACTTGTATCAAAGGACATCTGGGTACAAATGCTTGACCAGAAAGAACTTAATATATATGAAAAAATGCATGAAATCCAGTGGGGAGGGGATGGGCTATGGGGGTCATGAATGAGGGAGGAAGGATCTAAATTTGATCAATGTCTATTATATGAAATATACAAAACTCAATAAAAATATTTTTTTAAAGTCTTCACTCCTGGTGCTGGAGAAATGGCTCAGTGGTTAAGGGCACTGGTTGCTATTGCAGAGGACCCAGGTTCAATTCCCAGAACCCACATGACAGCTACGATCTGTCTGTAACTCCAGTTCCAGGGGATCTGACACCCTTTTCTGACCTCCACGGGTATTGAACTATGGGGGTGCACCTACCCACATACATCAAAACACTTGTACACATAAAATAAAAATAATAAATAATTTCTTTAAAGTTTTCAGTCCTAACACTGCTTAAAATCCATTCTACTTTGGTTTCTCTGTTGCTGTGGTAAAACATGCTGACTAAAACCAACTTGGGGAGGAAAGAGTTTATTGCACCTTATGTTTCTAAGTGATAGTCTATCACTGAGGGAATTCAAGGCAGGAACGTGGAGGCAGAAACTGAAGCAGAGACCATGGAAGAATGCTGCTTATTGGCTTGCTTCCTCCAATCTGTGCTCAGCCTGTTTTCATATATAACCCAGGACCACCTTCCCTGAGGTAGCACTGCCCAGAGCAGGCCAGACCCTCCCACATCACTCAACAATCAATACAATGTTCCCATACCCATGCTCACAGGAGACATGGAAACTATTCCTCATTTGAGGTGCCCTCCTCCCAGGTATCTCCAGTTGATGGGAACCAACCAGCACAAAGCCCCAAATTTCTTCTTAGATTCAGACAATCTCTTAACAATGAGCCTCTATAATATCAAGAAGACAGTTACAGACCCAATGGGCAAGAGTACACAGTAAGCATTCCTGTTCCAAAAACGAAGAGTGGAGAGATAGCAAGAAAAGGCTAGAGGAAAGCTAGACATAAACCCATCAGGAAAAATACCAAGCTCTGAAATTACATATCCAACATTTGGGTTCCAACTGACTTGGATAGCCCAGGTCCCTTTGGCATAAATGGGCTCTCTCTTAAGGATAGCTCAACTCAAGTGTCTGAAGATTTGCTTGGTGTCTGCATGTTCCAGATATCTCCGGCACCCTGGGGTCTTCATTGCAACTTAGATTTCACTTTCATAACTTCATGCAATGGTCTCACATGCGTTCTTCCAGGAAATATAATGCTGCAGGATGTTGCCAAGCATCATAATGGTCCATGAGGCTTTGTTGTCATTCTAGAGCTTCTATAGTCCATAACTCTGAACTCTTCCACAGTCTTCCCACAAACCACTTCCAAAAGCCTACAGACTGCACGATCAGGTTTATCACAGCAATGACCCCACTACTCAATACCTATTTGGGGTATCAGTTACTTTAGTCACTGTGACAGAATAATATGTGACAGAAGTAAATTATAGAAGAAAAGATTTCTTTGTTTCATGGTTTGAAAGAGTACAATGCATCACTGTTGGGATAGCATGGAGTCTTAATCAGCTTGGTCAGTGGCAGCTGGAAACATGGTACAGCTGCTTGCTACATGATACTGACCAAGAACAGAGCTTAGGCTAGAAGCAGACTGAGCTCTGCTCCAATGGCTCTGTGTCTGCTAACTAAGCCCCAGGTGCAAAGCGTTCAATAACCTTCAAGCACCAGCTGGGGACCAAATGTTCAAACACGAGTGTGTGGCAAACAATTTACATCAAAGCCACTCCTGTCACTGCCCTTCTACAAAGAGAGGTTCACCCTGTGATTCCGTGGTTGACTACAAAGCTAACCAAACTAATCCAAGTGAACTTTGCTTTGTCTTTCTCTCCTCCCCTTCCCTTCTCTCTCTCTTCCTCCCTTTTTCCCTCCTCTCAGCTTTCTTTATCTCCCTTCTGTCCTCTCTCTTTCCTTGTCTCCTCTTTCTCTTCCCTGCTTTTCTGCTCTTACTCATTTTTCTTCCCACTTAAGGTACCATGGCAAACAATGCCAGGCTGTAAGGTTTGCTTGAAGTCATTAATAGCCACAAGTCTACAATTCCCTTTCTAAAGTTTCCTCCCCCTTCTAATCTCAAAGTCCAGCTGGTCAGTGAGCAATTGGAGCCCATCCTCCCACTGACCTGCTTCCACTGTTGGAATTTGCTTCCTGCCTGGAAGAGATGGCTCTTGCCTGGAGACATTTGCGGAGAGCCTTCCACTTGGAGACTTCGTCTTTGAGAATACTCAAGACGTACCCATCCTTGAGCTGTGAGTCGAAACCAAGGGATATGGGTCAGCAGAGGGGTCAGCAGAGGGGAAAGCCTAAACTCTGGAGCTTGTTGCCTAGAATTTGAGAGGTTGCCTAGAACTTGGATGGGTCGTGGGGTTTTAGAAATATACCTGAAAGCACAGTGAATGGTTATGAGCTTATCTGATCTGGTGCTCCCATTTCAGAGTTAATATTTTAAAATACTCCCCCTATTTGTCCTGAATTGAAACTCATAGATAATAAAACCTGGCTGTGCACAACGTCAAAATTAAAACTTAATATAAAGAAGAAATCAAATGAAAATAAGTCAAAAAAAGTATTATTAAATTCAACATATAGATCCTGGTGATTTTTATTAAAAAGACATGAGGCATCCTCATAAATTTCCATTGGGCCTGTAGGAAGTGAGATTCCCAAGCACACATACACTCACACTCCAATTACTGAGCTATTTTCCTGAGATAATCCAAGCCAGAGCTAGACTAACCAGCACCCCCTCCTCATACTCTCCTCTCTCTCTCTGTAGCAGCAACAAGAAGTTCAGGGAGATCTGAGACAGCCAGGCACTGGGTGCCTTATGGATTATATCCTACATGCCATTTCATATGGATCTTGTTTCCCTGGAATCCCACAGCTTCGTTATTAATTTCCTTTCTAAAAACACAAACTTAAGCAGCCATCTGGCTACATATTTTTGTGTCATAATGAGACCTTATGCTGCACATACTATAAATGGTATAGAAGACCCTTTCCATTCCCCCATTATAATCAATTTTGCCTCTTCCTTATTTTTCCTATTTCTCTCCCCTTCCTTCGTCTCTTATTGTCTCATGCACAATTGCAATTTTATAAAACAATATATGCCTGATGCTCTTTGTGTGTGTTAGTGTGTGCATGTTTATGTAGGTTCACATGTGTTTACAGGTGTGTGTGCACATGCATGTGGAGGCCAGAAGTCAACCTTGAGTGTTGTTCCTCAGGTGCTGTTCAATTTGATTTTTTTGAGACAGATTCTCTCACTGAGTAGGCTAGGGTGACTGGCCAGCAAACCCCAAGGATCCACCCATTTCTGCTTCTCCAGAACTGGGATTACAAGTGTATGTCACAATACCCAACATTTTTACCTAGTTCTGATCACTTTTCAGCAAATGACAGGAGTTAATTTTTTCATGGCTGCACAATATTTTAATATATACCACATTTTCTTTGTCCATTTTTTCTACTTTTTTTAATTTTATTGAATTTTTGCAATTTTCATACAATATAATTTGATGGTATTTAGATCCCCTCCCCTATTCATACCTCCACTTACTGCCCCCACCCAATTTAGTGACTCTATTTTTTATATATACAGGCTATGGAGGAGTCTGATTTGTTTCCCCAAATGTCTTTTGGTATGGGTTCATGCACTGGAGAGCTTGGTTAACCTACCAAGAGGCCCATCTCTGTAAGAGACTGTCTCCCCACCCCCAGCAGCCATCAGTTGCCAAAGTTCCTTAGGTTGGGTTGGGATTCCTTACCGATTTCCCATGTCTATGCTGGGATTTTGTCTGGTTTGAGCTAGGCACCTCTGCTGATTCCATGTCTTGGTTGTAGTTAGTAGAGCCACAATAAACATGGGCATGCAGGCTTCTATTTAATACCCTGTTCATTTCCTTTAGATATTCAAGACAAAATGGAACAGTGTGATCATGTGATAAGTCTATGTACAGTGTTTGGAGAAACCCCATTCTTTTCACTGTAACAGCTGTGTTAATTTACATTCCAAGCAACCTTATATCACAATTTTCTTTTCTCTACATCCTCAGAAATATTTGTTTGTTGACTTGCTTTTTCCTACCAGCCACTGAAGAGGGTGGTACTTCATGGTCATCTCCCATTGTCACTTAGAGATCCTGATCAATTCATTGCAACTCCTAAACATAGTTCTACCAAGGGAGCTACAGAAGTAATGTGATCCTGCAAACCCATGCCACGCCGCCTCTTAATTTACACTTTTCCCTTGGCTTTTCAAAGACCTTTGACTACTTGTTTACTGACTATGTCCATATGTGTGTACACGTGTGTATGCCTGTGTTTGTTCATCCAAACATGCTCATTGAACACACTTAACACCTGCCTGGTACATGGAAAATACTTGAGCATCTGCTGTGCATGTAGTAATAATGGAAATACAATCATAATGAGCAAGCAAAGCCCTTGCATATGCCACAGGTGGGATAGGTTTAAACAAATAAATAAGTAAATATATCTAGGAAATCATAGTAAAGGAGAATAGAAAAATCAAATGGGAGGAGGTTATGGCAGATAGGGAAATCACCATATTTTAAGGGTTTTAAGATGTGCAAAATAAAATAAATCACAATCCTTCCATAATTTCAATATATTTACTACATGGTATTTTCATCCATAAACTATTTAACCTTATTTGTCTTGATATATAGTCATTTTGATCAAAAGACGTATACAAAGCTATACAAACAATTTTTCAGTATAAAAGGTCAAAAATATCTTAGTGGTTCATCCTTTCTATAGTTAACTGAAGTTTCAAAATTCATATCCTTTCCAGGTAGGGGGAGAATGTGCTCCAATATACCTTTTTTGACATGTCTTCTCTCTTATAAAGGAAGGATACACAGGAGAGCACATTGTTGGTAAATAATGCCCATTGCCCACTGAGAAATTCCCCCAACACTCCTGGGAAAACTTTTCTTAAAGAAAAGCTAAAATTATCCTGAATGGCAAACCCCTCACATGCACCCTAGGCTGATCTCAGAAAGATTGCTCCAAAAAAAAAAGTCAAAGAAATATCCACTAGCCCCAAAACATCAGGTGGAGTTTTTGCATGTGAGAAGTAGCAACTGCTTCTGTTTTACTCCACAAAAGGGCATGTGTTGGAAGGATGTGGAGGAAGGGAAACTGAAATAACCCCAGAGAAGATGAGGAAGTGAGCAGGAGTGGGCACAAAGAGAGGCCAATGGTCAGTCAATAGCCAAGACTTCTAAACAGGCTTTGCTGCTGACAGGTAAGCACCATGTAGCACTGGTTATCCTTCTACTCAGAGCACACACGATGTGGAAGGGAAATCGGAATCTTACCGTTCTTGTCAGGGATTGGGTAGCACAGAGCAACAAGATTTTCATGCTCTGCAAATGCAGAACAGTGTAGGACCAGGGGGGAAGCCACCCTCCAGTCTGACAGCTGGCAGACCCAGTGCAGAGGGAGCAAATGAGAAAAGTACATTCTCCCATCAGTCTTTGCTCCTCTCACCTTTAGACTCCAGCCTAGCTTCAGCAGGCTTCCATAAGAGACGGCATCTCGATCTGCCACTGCCTCAACTCCGGTGATGATAAAATCTTCCTTTCCTAAAAAATCTCTGGCTAAGTATAAGATGAGGTGCGAAATGGGACACGTGTATTTAAGTTACCTAAGATGCTCTGCAGAAATAAGACACAACATTTGAATAAGTCACAGTGCAGATTGTACATTTTTAAAGATTTTTATTCCTTTTTTTCATTTTAGACAGTGAAGAAGTCCTTGATAAATACTCTCTCTGTTGAAAACTGGTTTTAGATATAAGAAAACCTGTTACCCTACAAAAGTAGTTTCCCTGAGAACTCATAAAAGCTCACAAACATTGATTTCTCTCACTTACCTTGCCCAATAATTTTCCTATTTTTAATATGATTTGGGAGAAAGAAAACAAAGTTTAAGTGATTTTTCTGTGGTGAAAATGAAAATTAGGCAGCTGGGAAATTAAATCAGTTATCCACTGGCATTTATTACATAAGTGGCACTGTTTTCCAAATTCAGTTACATTTTAATGTTTTCAGTTGTCCATGTGAAATGAAGTGGAAACTGGTGAATTGGATGAAAACCAGAGCTGTCATCTGATTTTAGTCTAAAAAGACAATATCAGATCTAAGTTAAAAAAAATAAAATGATACATGAATATAACAGTTCACAAAAGACCTAGAATTCAGCACCAATAACCCAAACCTGAGCTATCTTTTACCCACCTCCTCTTCTACACACGTATGTACACATAAACACACACACACACACACACACACACATACACACACACACAGTTTCCAAGAACACAAAAAGCCTTATTAACCCTCAACTCTTACAATATCCTCAAAACACAAGGTGTTTTACATAAAGAATGCCTGCAATTATTTCTGAAGATATTTTTATGTCAAGTAAAGCATTTTTTTAATCCATAGATTTTCATTATGACTATGTGTTTTATTTACTGGAAGGGGAGTATGACAAGAAAGATTTGGGGGGTACTATGTAGATTTATTTCACTTACCAAATAGTTACTTTTCTCCATGTTTGATTGCCACTTGTCTCTATTGCTTTTTCCCTTAGTTCCTTCTGACCATGTGTCCTTCTTCCCTCCTTTAATGTGGTATTTTATGTATTTTATTTAGAGTCTTTGCCTCACCATTGTAATCTTACTCCTTTATTGAATGAGTGAGTGAATGAATGAACAAATGATGAGTGAATGACTCTGCCCTGGCTGTGATAAATCCAGGCTTTTCTTGATCAAGTCTTTCTCTCCAACCCTCTTCCTTTTCCAGGCTACTCTCATAATCCTGGCAGCCTTGTAGTCATGGGACTTACAGTCTCCTCATTGGGTACCTCCAATTTTACACACAGGAAAATAAAACTGATGGAATAAAGGAATTTTTGAATTCTTAGAAACAAGCATTTTCTTTTTCTATTTCAGGAGAATAACTTACACAGAGGCACACAATAACAATCTTTTCAAAAGGTGAAATTCTCAGAAAACTTAAGCAATCTTTTTCTTGTCATTTCTATGCATGGATAGCTAAAAGCCACTTACTTTTAAAGTAAGAGCAGATTAATAACATTAATGATTATATAGAACAGAAAAATGAGTGATATTTCTTTGAAAGAAAATACACCCAGAGCTGTTATTTTCCTGCTTCATTTAGAAAAAAAAAAAATGTTCATTGAGTTTGTCAAGACCGTGACTTCAAAGCCACACAACACTAGCATTTCATCCATACATTCAAAACCCTCATGTTGCACAAGTGGCATCACTTCCTCAGCTCTTTCTAAGAATGTCTGGAAACTGACCTTGAATCTTCAAAATTAGAAACATTCTTTTCCAAGAGTACTTACAAGGGATCTAGACCTCTCTTTCAGCTCTGATAGTCTCCGACTTCATTGTTCCTTCCCACGAATACAGAAAGGTCAGAGTCTGTGCTATTGCAAAAAATGATCAACAACAGACAAAAGAATACTAGACTGAGGCCAAAACTTGCAGTTTCGTTCTTGTTCTTACTGGTATGGTAAGCTTAAATAAATGACTGTATCACTTTTAGCTTACAAGTAAGAGTAGTATTTTAATACCTCACTCCAACCTGAAAATTTTTCCAAGTTTCAAGCACTCGATTTTTCTGGTTAGGCTCAGCTTATTTCCTTTTTGTCATGGTCTTAGGTTGGTCGTCTTTTGAGATGTAAAGGGGCTGTCTTCTAGATCAGTTTGCAGATATTAATTCAGATATTAATCCCTGTACCTCACAAGAACAGTCAACAACCATTAATCTCATGCCTATTGAGAACCAACCAGATGCCAGACACTTGTCCACATAATGGGGTTTAGGTATTAGGCAACTCAGAGTCTAAAAAGCACCTCTATTAACAAAGTGAACACTTACATTGTAGACAGAGTGAGCAAAAGTTTGCCAAGTGAAGAGAAAATTTTAGCCAACCAGGAAGAGGATTTGCTTTCTAAGCTTATGAGGGGCATTATGGGGAAATTTGTTACTTTCCCATCCTTTATATCTTTTTGTAGCAGATTTGATCTTTTTTATCCTCCAGAAAAATCCATCATTGTGATATCTCAATGATAAAATACAAACTAAAACCTGTTTTAAATGATTTGCTTCAACTAAGAAAGAAAATTGCCTAAGGGCCATGATTAGGATGACTTAAGTGACTGCCGTGGACAGACCTATGCGATGTTTGTTGAGGATGCTAATTCGCTTCATTTTAGTAGGTGCTTCCAGGACACCCGCATCTAAGCTCACATTTCATACAAAGCCCGAAATGCCATCATGTGACTTCTCACCTGAGAGATACCAGGTAAGACTCAGGGTTTCAGAAAAATAGGTTTACTTAGGAGGCCTCAAGAACTCCTTCATTGTTTCCAGCAGAAGGACCCACAAAGAACCCTGCTTGTCAGTCAACTATCCTACCCTAGATATCCCATCGGTCAGGTCATTGGGAAAGCCTGAAACCGTCTTGCACCATTTGCTTCCTTTTTTTAGAATTGATGAGCATGTGTGAGAGAGACAGAGACAGCGAACACAAGAAAGAGACTATCTAAGACAATGCAGACACTACACAGATCCACTCATATCCAAACTGTGAAACAGTACATGGACTCCATACATGAAGGACATTTGGGGACACAAGTTAGACTTTGTAGGCCTTATATCATATTATTATATTATATAAAATAGAGTACATTAAATTAGGTTCAGGCAGTGAGGGAAGGTGCAGATGGGGGATCTAAGTACCATCAAATTAATTGTATGAAAATCACAAAAATTCAGTAAAAGTTTTTAATATGAAAGCACTCATTTGCTTTTTTAAGCCTTATTATTTTGACTAACTCATGATAACACATCACACAATATTCCCGAGTTTCCCCACCAAAAATTAAAGTTATTTTTCTCTTGTCAGACTACTACTGATTGTTCTTGCTCTCTATCCTCCCCACCCTCTCTCCTTCTCACACACAGTAATCCTCTTATTCTATATAATATTCGTATGTCATAAATTGTAGATTCAATAATCAAGAGAAATCAACAAAAAAGAGAAACTTGGGTGTGATGTTTAGTGTTAATTGTCAACCTGACAGAATTTAAAATCACCTGGGAAGTGGGAGTCTGGGTTTGCCTATGGGAGATCAGATGGATTACATTCCTTGAGGTGAGAAGACCCATCTTAATTGTGGTGGGACCCTTCCCTTGAGGGCTTGGACTGAATAAAAAGGAATAAGCTAACTGAGAATATGTATTCATTGGTCATTGTTCGCTGTTTCTTGACAGCAGATACAGTGTGAGCAGTTCCTAGCTCTTGCCTCTATGGCTTCCCTACCATGCTAGACTATGTAACCTCAACTGTGGGCTAGAATAAGCCCTTTCTCCATGAAGTTGCTTTTGTCAGAGTATTTTATCATAGTAACAGGAAAAAAACTAAAGCACTGGGAGAGGTTTTGTAATTTAAAACAGTGGGCTGGGCAGATAACTCTGTCAGTAAAGCATTTGCTGAGCAAGCACGAGGACCTGAGTCTGGATCTGTAGAACACACACACACACACAAAAAAAAAAAAAAAAAAAAAAAAAAAACAGACGCGGAGGTTGAAGTGGAGAAAAAAAAAAAAAAAAAAAAAAAAAAAAAAAAAAAAAAAAAAAACTGGTCATGGCAGGACACACCTGTAATCCCAACCATATGGGGGGTGCAGAGACAGGAGGGTCCCTGGAACTTGATAGCCAGCCAATCTAGCAGAATCAGTGACCTCTAGGTTCCATGAGAGACCCTGGCTCAAAAAACACAGTGGAGAACAATTGAGGAAAACCCCAAATATTGACCTCTGGGCTCCACACACATATACTACATGTGCATCCATGCTACACATGGATGTGCACTGGCACACACATGTGCACACACACAAGAACATAGAAGGAAAGCTGAGGATAAAGCTCAGTGGTAAAGCACTTGCCTAGCATGCAAAAGGCCCTGAGTTCAGTTGCCGATACTACCCAGAATTTCATTTTTTTTAAAAACCTCTAACAACAAAATGGCATCACTTCAAGCATTTATTTCCAATGCCTGCTTTTTTTACATGTTAAAGTCAATTTAAAAACAAGGCTTTCCATTGAGAGGTAAGAATTCCAGTTCCCTTCTTCTTCATGTATGCTCAAGAAAGGGATCACAAATTTAAAAAGACCACAAGGAAAACTTTCATCTGCTAAAGAGGAAGGGCTTCAGTTACCTGCAGGTAGCATATTGGGTATCAGCCCTACATTCAGGTTACTAGAGGGACTGGGCATTGATACACTGGCCTGCTGTTGACTGTATAGGACCTAACAATAAAGAAAGCAGATTTTAATTTGTCTTTTTTGTAGTCCCTTGCTTATAGCCATATCCTGGAGATTCATAAACAACATCTTTCTCCTGTGAGAACAGCATATTTCCAGAAGCCCTTGCTGCTTCACCAGGGACACATGGAGTGGCTATTTGATTCTGACGGAAACAGATACCTGGATTTCTTCTCTGGGATTGTCACTGTTAGTGTTGGTCACTGCCACCCGTGAGTATCCTTCAAATCCTCAGGATTTTCACTCCAGAAGAACATACGGGAAACAGTCATCCATGCCATTCAGAACCCTTGATTGACTTATCCTAGTTTTTAAAAGTTGATTACAGTCTATGGCTGATATACACCTACATAGTTTTTTCAGTAAGGAAAAAAGTCTTGATGCTTCCGTTTTCTTTCCTTCACAATGGAAGCTTTGGTCATTTTTATTGCACATGCAATATGGCATGAGGCATGATTGGAGTGTCTCTCTAAATTTCTCACTAGAAACAGTTTTCCAAAGACAGGAATATACACGAGGCAGGTGAATGAGTTGTAGGTAATAACTTCTAGATCCATGAGAGATATTCCTCATGGACTCTAGGAAACTGACATAAATAATAATAAGAGATCTGGGTGTGGTGGCACACACCTTTAATCCCAGCTGGGGCTACAGGGAGACCCTTTCTCAAAAGGACCAAAAAAAAATGATAATAAGAAATAGATGCAACCTTAATTGGAAATGTACTTGGAAATGTATGAAGCAATTAATGTTGAGCTTGTGTGAAGCCATAACTAACTCCCTTACATACAGACCCTCAGCACATTCCTCCCTTGTCCTTTGATTTCTATGTGGCCATCCCATTTTAATGCTATTCTTCTTGATCTTAAGAATCTGGCAAATAAAATTAATAGTAGGTTCATGGGGGGAGAGCAGCAAATTTAAGGTAAATTGAATAGGTCGAGGCCCTGCCCACAGAGTAGGGAGCCAAGGGATCTCCTCCAATTGCTATCAGCGGGGGAGAAGTGGCTTGGCCTCCATGCTTAGCCTTCTCTTTTTCTACTGTCTTCAGGAGGCACCAGTCCCAAGGAGCATCCAAAATAAATCTTGGTTGCACACTAAAGTAAAATACAAACATTTGTGAAATCAGAGAACAACTTAAATACTATCACTGACTCTTCCCAGTAACATTGACGTTGTTCCTGACTGTTGACCACTCTCACTCACTTTCATGACTTTTGTATTGCTGCCGTTCCCCACCTGACCCCTGACTCACAATCCCAGTTCCTTCTTTATTCCTCTCTCCTTCTCTCTTTACTTCTTTTTACTCACACATTCCCACTACCACCATCCTCCCATCCTGTTTATTTAATTACTCTGTTTTCAACTGTCTTATCTAGCTTGATATCTTCAGCCTTGGACTCTCACCAACATACAATAAAGTTGAATACACTCAGAGAGTGCATCAAGACACCCAGATTTCTCACTACCTTGAAGAATGTCTCCTGCCCCAAGATACTCCACTAGCAGCTCAAACTCAACATTTCAAAGACTAAATCTATCATCTCCACGAAACCATTTCTACTCACAAAGTCAGTTCTTCTAGAAGGACGTATGAGCCACCTGCTCTGTGAGGGAGCTGGAGAGCGAGCTAGCAGCTGCATTCCTCAGCTGTTCTGGAATTTGTTCTGTCTTTGACTTTTCCTGCTTTTCATTTCCTACAGCCAAATCTGATGCCATAGACCAGATGCCTCCACTGAAACGCATTTCTTACTGGCTCTTCTTCCTACTGGTTCTCATTAACACAAGTGTTGTAGGATCTCTTCTCTTCAGTATAAGGCCACCTTGCTCACCTAGCTCTAGGCCTCTGCATTAAGTAATCCACATCCCCTCTGTTCCACATGTCGTGTGGCTCAGATATATTTCTTTAAACCATGCTGTTATCAAGTATCTCATCTCTTTAAGAGTTTACTGACACTTCACAATTTTCTGAAGTGAGATTTGTGGAACACTAATCCCAGGAGTGCTTCCTTGGAAAAGAGTCCAAAGGGAAAAAAAAAGCATAAGATACACTGAACTCTATCTCCTCCTAGAGGGAAGCAGTGCATGGTGGAGCACACCTTTAATCCCAGCACTTGGGAGGCAGAGGCAGGTGGATCTCTGTGAGTTTGAGGCCAGCCTGGTCTGTATAGTGAGTTCCAGGTCAGCTGGGGCTACTGGGAGACCTTGTCTCAAAAAGACCAAAAAGACCCAAAACAAAACAAAAAAAGTACTAACAATGGGACTGGAGAGATGGTTCAGAGGTTAAGAACACTGGCTGTTCTTACAGAAGACCCAGATTCGAATCCCAGCACCCACATGGCAGCTAACAACTGTCTATAACTCCAGTTCCAGGGGATCTGGCAGCCTCTTCTGTCCTCCGTGGGCATTGCACGACATGGGTGCATTTACCTACATGCAGGCAATGCCCACATACACATAAAATAAAAATAATAAATAAAAAATTTAAAGTACTATCAATTCCCACAGTAGAAGAATTTACTTACTCTGATATTTCTCAAAATTATTCTACTGTTGACCTAAGTTTTTGGTGTAACAGGTGTTAATAGCATACAGAACTGCTGCCCTTTAGATCAAACTGAAACACCTTTCTCTGCCTTCTCAAGGCTTGCCTATTCATATATTGCCCCATATATTTGTCCACCCTTAGTTACTGCTGTCCCTCAATATGAGTCTTCTTTGCTTGTTCTTGTTGCACATTTGCTTAACTGAACTTTTATTGTAATTAGTATTTAAGCTCTGTTGAACCTGCAGTTAATAACAGAAACATAGTAAATATGCGGTACAGGATGCTAAGATAAACTTCATGCCAGGGTTTTTTATTCATTAGGGCCTGAGGATAAGTAAAGCGCCTCATAGTGCATTTACACCATACAACTCTTCTTCCATAGTCAACAAGAGCAACAAAAAAGGATATTTGTGTACTTTGAGACACTCCAGTGTCACATTGCAGGGTTCCTGGTGTGTTTTACATAAGCTCTCAATCGTCTGTCGTTCTCATCAAAAGGCACCGATGAATGTAATTATAAAACCAGTCCATCAGTGATACTGAAGAATACAAGAGAAAAGTTTGGGTGGAGGATATGTACATTTCTTAGAAAAAGATCCATAAAAGCATAAATTTAAAAGAAAAATCTTAAACTCATCAGAATTAAATAATCCTATTTAAAGAAATTAAAGACTTTTGCTCATTATTAAGAAAAGAAAAAGTGAGGTTACCCAAGAAGAATAGAAATGGTCATGAAACATATATTCATTACTGGATTGTTATCCACCAAGTAGAGTCAATGATACAAAATCATATAAACAGTTTGAAGCAAACAAAACCTCAGCATGAACCTTCTGATCTATAAGGTTAGACTCCTTTAAAGAATGTGGCTTCAGCATTATAAAATGTTTGTCAACACTGACGTCTGTTCCAATAACATACTGGAATCTCCTTTGAAAGAATAACTGCTGATATTGTACATGTGGTTGACTCGATTTTCTGAACCACTCAGGGATGATTAACAACAAAACATAGAGGAAATTCTATGCCTATATCCTTCCTAAACAGGGAATTTCTTTTCTAAAATCCCTAATTTAGCATCATTGAGTCTGCTTTGAACACTTACCTCAGGGACCAATGCATCCCCCACTGTTAGCAATTTGTTTTCATGTGTAGATGAAACCTGCCTCTTGAAACTTTAAGAAGTAGCCATAAATCTAGAGTTAATGGTGGGGTGGGGATAGTGGTGCCTACTGGTGATCTGCATACATAACTGCTTCTGTGTTTCACCAGGAAGGTAAACGCAGTGGCACAAGAGCAGATGGAACGCCTGTGGCACACGAGTTCCATCTTCTTCCACCCTCAAATGCATGAATATGCAGAAAAACTTTCAGCACTTCTTCCTGAACCTCTTAAGGTACAGTGATCCACTTGAAAGGAATAGCGACCCATGATCCCAAGAGAGCTTCCTAATGAAGCAGGAATACAAACAGGGAATTTAGTCTGTGCACTGAAAGTCTGTCATGGTGAACAGACAGTCATTCTTGAAAGCAGTCTAGCAGAAAAAAAGGGGATTTATGGACTGCTGGTGAAACAACCTAGTGTTTGTTCCTTGTTTGTTTGTTTGTTTTAAATTTATTTAATATTTTAGTTATTATTTTGTGTGTGTGCATATGTGTGTGTGGTCAGAAGAGGACATCAGATCCCCTGGAACTGGAGTTACAGATGGCTGTTAGCCATCCTGTGGATGCTGAGAACCAAACCCGGGTCCTCTGCAAGAACAATCAGTGCTCTTAACTGCTGAGCCATCTTTCCAGCCCCAATCCAGTATTTTAATGTGTCCCCTCTGAACCTCTCACCCTTTGATCACCTCCTCGCCCAAAATGCTTTCCTCAGTGTCTTCAGAAGATATATATTTCTTCCATGGTTTCTGCAATTATTTCCATTTCTTCTCTTAGAAAGAACAAGACCATTCCTTATAAATAGCATTTGTCTAAATTATAATTAGATATTTATATTGAATGAGATACATCTGAAATGAAAGTTTACATTGAACTGACATGTAAAGATGTTGACCAAGATTTGTACGTAAGCATTGAATATATATATATGGAAGATCTAAAATAGTGTCCTGGTTTAGTTATTAGTTTACTACATTATCTAGGCACTCCATTTACTGTGTCATGCAGACTAGAAAAAGAAACTTGGAATAGCTGTAAACCTTATTCAGAACCAGATTCTCATGGCAGAGTAGAAACAGAGTAGTCAGAAAAGCCACAAATTCATGCCTCCCTGTTCATCCAGAATGAGCTGCATTTTATGTTTGTTCTTTATTTTCTTTCTTTCAACATTCACAGACAGCACACTCAGACTGGGTTGTAAGGTTGGGGCCCTTCCTCACTCTATGCCTTCAGAATCAAGTGAGATGAGTTAGGTTCAGACTCCATCCTTGCCACTAACCACTGTGAGCCTGTCAGAATGTCTTTCCATCTTAACATTTTTAAGATCATCAAATAAAGCCAATAAAAACCCAGACTTTTACAAATGAGGTAATGCTTAGCCATTATTAAAAAAATTTCTAGCACTAATAGCTACTCAGTGGAGGCCTGTAGAACTGATATAGTAGTAAAAGGGAGACCATTTAGTAATGGAAGCTGTCTGAGAGGGATTTGAAGCTGGGATACGATGTCTAGCCATTTTGAATGAATTATTAAAAAACTGAGAGTACTAGGTGTGTGTCATCCTTTCCTCTCTAGGTCATTTTCTTGGTGAACAGCGGCTCAGAAGCCAATGACCTGGCCATGGTGATGGCCAGAGCATACTCAAAAAAGACAGACATCATTTCCTTCAGGTAACCATACTTTAGAAACTTTAGAGTATTCAACTTTAGAAACAATGACTTAGTACTAAATGTGCATTTTTAAAATGTAGTATGGAAATACTCTTCCAAATTTCAGTTTTAAGGCAGGATCAACCCAGCGAATTTGGTGACTAGATAATCCCATTCAAATTGTCCCGATCAACTTTTGATGAGTATATTAGCATTTAAAAGAGCAGAAAACTAAAGATTTAGTTCATGGTTTACTACCTTGTAAGACTCTGTTACATCACATAGAAGATACAAGTAATTTATAGTGAAATTGATGGAATTAAAAAATTTTAGCTTAGGGGCTGGAAAGATGGTTCAGTGGCTAAGAGTACTTACTGTTCTTGCAGGTGACCCAGGTTCATTTCTCAGCACCCATATGGTGGTGAACAACATTCTTTAACTCCAGTTCCAGGGGATCCAACACCCTCTTCTGGCCTCCGTGGGCACTACACACACCAGGACACTACATGCAGGCAGAATATTCATACACATAAGATAAAAATAAATAATTTTTTAAAGAATTTAGTCCCATTTTTAACCCAGTTCAGTATAATTTCTGTCTAATTATACAGGAAGAGAACTCTCCAAAGATATTGAGCAACAACAGTTTCATCACACAAACAAATATTTGTCTTTCCAAGGTAACTACTTTGAAGACTAGTATTTGCTAACCATTTGCTGGTATATTGCTAAAAGATGAGCCTCACTGCTTTAGAGTAGGACAGATCCTAAACTCAGAGTTCTTGGCTAATCAATCCCAAAATTATTTTCACAGTTTCAAATCTATGACACTAGTTGAAAAGATAAATTATTACAGTCACATGACATAGGCTTAGAGGAGGTACTAAAAGGTATCAGAGTTGAATGTTCATGCTGTTCTGGTTTGGCTCCCTAATGTTCATAGTTTTCTTTGGTCCTGATCAAGCCAGTGAGTGATCAAAGAGAAATTAACTTGATGTCATCCTCCCATGTATTGTTTTTCTCTTCAGAGGAGCCTATCATGGATGCAGTCCCTACACACTTGGTTTGTCAAATGTAGGGTCCTTCAAGATGGAACTTCCCAGTGGCATGGGCTGCCATTCAGTGAGTTCTGAGACTTTTGTTTTGTTTCACTAAGAACTTCTGGGAGTGTGGAATGACTGATCAGATTTTTCTGATAATGGAATTAGAAACCAATATAATATTGTCATTAATTAGGTGGTCTAATTTGGCTTAAAGAAAAGACTAGTTGAGAAAAATGTTTCTTAGAAATGCCTTTAGAGTCTGAGTAATAGTTAATGATAGAATTTTACTTTGCTGAGACTTAAGGATCTGAGAAGCTTAAATACACAAAATTTCTATCATGCCAGCCCTGTCCTCACTGTCTGTTCTCATATACTGTGCCTATATGTCTCAGCATCAGAACTAGGTACCTAATTATCCCTATTCTTTAAGATGCCCTTATCCACTAAACCCTTGAGAAAGCTGTTTCTGGACTAACATTGAAATTAGCTTTCTTTGTAGAGTGGTCACATAAGTGATTTCTAAGGAAAAAAAATGTCTCTTCAAGGCAGATTAGATTTTTATCTTAAATGAGACAGGAGTGAGGAAGAAATCTCAACATCAGATTAAGTAGCCCATGTGTTTTGTCACCATATGCTTTCCCAAAACTGGCTATCTTATTTTAGCATTTTGCCAAAATCCTTCTTTTGTCATTTGCAGACAATGTGCCCAGATGTTTTCCGTGGCCCTTGGGGAGGAAGCTACTGTCGTGATTCTCCAGTGCAAACAATTAGAAAATGCAGCTGTGTACCAGGTCCAACTGTGGGCAGGGAGGAAGGGACAGAGAGGAAGATCTATCGGGAGGGGTGAGGAATTTGGAGAAGGGCAGAACAAAATGGGTGGGCTCATCCACTGGTTCCCAATTGGAGAAGAGAAAAAGAAACAGGATACTTCTGTTAATCTCTAAACTCCAGTCAAGAAATTCCACAGGGATTCAGAACGACAGCCAAACATCTGTCAAACATGAAGATATTCCTGAATGCCACTGACATCTCTTGCAAAAGTTTTAGTCATTCTTACCAGGAAAACTTCTATTTATCAATCACATTTTTATTTGGATTCTTAACATGAAGAAGAGGAATAGAAACATCATCAGCTCTTTTCTAGTCAGATTTGTCATCATAATACAGAACCTTTTCAACAGCTGCTCCTCAGTCATTCTAGGGGAAAGAACTAAATGCTCCAGTCAGAAGATATTTAATGGGCTAAGATGACTCAGGTTAAGAGGAAGCATGAAAGATGGAAATCTTTAAAAATCAGCTTTGAAAGGAAGAAGATTCACAGTAATCTTATTCATACAGGATAAGAGCAAAATAGAGAATGAAAGACTGAACATTGGGACAGGACAAAATGTCAGTGCCACAGAATTTAAAAACACATGGAGGTGTAAGACCCAAACTTTCAGTTTTAAAGATGAGAAAACAAGAACCACACATAGGAAGTGGGAGATCTAGGACTGATCCCAAGTCTTCTGACCCCAAAGCTAGGGCTTCCAGTACCTGTGACCACCCTTCAAATAAGGACCACCATAGGAAGTAGGAGATCTAGGACTGATCCCAAGTCTTGTGACCCTAAAGCTAGGGCTTCCAGTACCTGTGACCACCCTTAATCACACTGATGGGACAACAGGAAGATTTCAAGATGGAAACTAGTAAATAATGCCTGTTCTTCTGGCTGTGCTTAAGGACATGTGTTAAGACATCTAGATTCCACTCCGAGCACTGTTATGGTTTACTTATGAGCAACAGCTCTGTCTTGTGCTTTAATTTTCTCATTTGTGAAAAAAAAAAGTCAAGGATAGGGGGAAATGCCTGTGCCTCACTCCCATCCCAGGCCCTCATGAGACAAAAGGATGCACAACTAATAACAATTTACATTTTAATTGCTGACATGCATGTATATCACATGTATGTTACAAAGGAGCTTGCTAATTCTCCAAACCATCTTTTATTCATACTTGCTACATCCTTTAAAGTCATCCAGGTTTTTGTCACTTCCTTTCTTTATAAAAGTAGGGAACTTTATTCCAAAGATATCAGGTAGCTCTGTCAATCAAGTTCATTGCACGCTTGTGACCAGTACACAGCTAGCTATGTCAATCAAGCTCACCACATGCCTGTGGACAGGTACTACTGGTTTCCCTGCTCTTTAATAGAGCTGAAGAACAAGTGTATTTATGCTGTAGTTTTCTTTTGCAATTGTTGTTCTCTTCCCTATCTCTAGCCTTCAGGTGACAGGCAGCATGCATGCCTCTAAGCAAGTATTGGGATGGTAGTTACTGCCTCTATACACAGACCCCTGAGCTGCTTTCAACTAAGATGGGCTGTTGCCCCCCATCCCATGCATATCTCCTCCATCCCTTTTGCTGGCATGGATTTGTGTTTAAGTTCAGCAATGCTATTACAACTGCATATTAAAATTCTGTAAGTCCAGTCATGTATAGATACGATTCAAATTATTGTCTTTCTTCCTGGGACATCCCCACCTTCTAAAGTGACACATAGAATGTGGCTTCTGGAACTTGGGTGAGGCTCCCAAGCAGTGCTCCACCTCTTTGTGTCCTCTCCCACTCACAGGATTTTATGCTTGTGTCTCTGTGTATTGAGGCTTACAGCTAGGGAAGCATCCATCACCCCCAGCAGGGATATTACGAGCACCTTGAAGCATTGTGAGAATGTAAACGTGATCACTTCTGAGACATTTGGAATGGATGGGTAGCTGCTCCTGAGCTTAGCATGACAGTCTGGCTTGTCTCCAGATGCCTCCAGCTGAAAACAACTAAACCCCACAGGCTGTGGAACACACCACTGAATCAGTAATATAAGAGAGTAAGAAACCCCTGAAGCACATGTAATAACTGATTAACACAAGTTGAGGTGTTTCACATAATATTGCAAACAGTATTCAAAGTTCATAGTTGTGGAAAAAAACAGTTCTATTCTATACAACTAAATTCAAGTATGTTACTTTTAAACCTTTCTGATTATAAGCCCAGGAAGGACTATTCTACTAAGCATAGTACATCTAGTATTAAACTAAAGCAACTTGAACTAAAAGAGCTAGGGAACTCAGATTATCCTTTCCTACATTTTGATAAAAACGAAGGAAAAAAAATCCTAAACACAAAGATGCCAAGATGAAGTTATTATTTGGAGAAAGGAAAATTCTTTATTCAGAAGACGTTGTTTTTCTTTATTCTATGAAAATTTTAGTCATGAAAATTAGCAAAAGATAAATTTTATTCTGAAGAATAAATAAATGTTCCCACTTGAAGAATACATTCCATAAGATGCTATTAAACTAAAGCATCCCTACAACTCACAACTTGCTCTAAGATACAAATAATAAAAAATACTTTAAAAATCCTAAACTGGTCCTCTAGTAACACATTGAACTACTAAGCTGAAATGGCATTTAATTTTTCTTACCAATAACACACTTCTAAAATTATTATAGATGCTTTACGTTTCAAAATTAAGACTTCCTTCAAAAAACCCTAAGTAGGCCATTAGGGTACTGTCATCAGTTGCACTTGGCAAACCTGGAGACCTTGAGATTCCATTTTTATGGTTCTATGAAGGACTGGGATCCCATCCACAGGAAAGGATATAACAGGAATCCTCCCAACCACAGAGCTGGAATCCCAAGAGGCCACACCTTTATCGATGAGTCACCTAGAAATACATGCACCAACAATTCATCATCACAAGAAGCTATGCAAGGATTCTCCCATTGAATGCAAGTGGAGAGGACCCAATAGGAGTCTCACTGTAAACCTAAAGTACAGGCTGGCTATCCTGGGGCTTTACATTCTGAGCTCTCCTACCACAAGCTGATAATTAGTGGCATCTCAGGCTAGGATTGTCCTATAGATCTGGAAGCTGTGGGTGCAGGCCTACTCTAAGGATCCTGCCTCATTCTAGGTCTCAAAGAATACTCAGAAATAAAATTCCAATGGATATAAGCCATCTATAGTCAAAACTAACATATAAAGAAACAAAACTCCACATTTAAGGAAAGAGCCACGAAAATATGCAATAAAATTACCAGACAATGGAATGAGCATATGTAATAGTTAAGGAAAATTAAATATAAATTTGAAAATATGTGCAGTGCACAAAAAAACCTCTAAATGACAAAGCAGGTTTGAAAACAAGTATATCTACTAGTAATTAAATAATAATAATTTAAAACTCAGTGGGTAGATTTATTAGCAAGTGGATCCATCCAATAGGGGGATTAATGTGTTAAACTCACCATTTGAAGAAGGACACTTTATTCCCCACCTATTCAGAGTAGAATTTCAAGTGAAATTGCTCAATATATCTCAAACCAACCCTGTCACAGTTTCAACCATTTATTTTCCTCTAATTCCTTAGGCATATACTGAACACCTAACAGTATCCCAGACAGTTGGCATGGTCACGGATTCCAAATAAACAAATATGGCATAATCCCTGCCCTCGGTTAAGGAGGAAAGACCTAAAAATAAGAGACACAGGACCAAACCAAGAGCTATCATGGATTAAAATTTCCTGGCTCCAATCCATTCTTCTTTAGACTGAATGACTGAATTCTAATTGTTATATAAGCATATTTACTTACTCTGGATGCAAAAACACTTTGTTTTTAAAAATCTGTATCAGAGTAAGTAGTAATAAAAATTAAATAGAGTTATTTTCAAACAGATTAAGTCACTCCAATAACACTTGAGTTGGGTCTACTCATTTAAAGGATGGGTGTCCTTAGATGAAATGGTTGTCTATATTAGACTCAATCATACTTCAGTGCATTTCTTTGCCAGATGGAAATTATTGAAATGGTTTGTTTATGCTTTTATGGATGTCCCAATAAGTACAATCCCTACAGAATGTTACCTGTTCAGAAATATCCTTGGATCCTACCTTACCACAGTCTAAGAATCTCCAATTAATGCACTGCTCTTACTTCTTTGTTTCTCCCCATTCTTGTAGATACCGTTCTCACATCTTCAAATGCTCTGCTTTGTGTGTGTGTGTGTTTGTCTGTGTTTATCTCTTTCAGACTGCTGCCAAGCTAAAGAACAATATATTGAACAGTTTAAAGATACACTGAACACTTGTGTGGCCAAGTCAATTGCTGGATTTTTTGCAGAACCAATTCAAGTGTGTATACGAACCTAATGTCTCTCTGAATTTTCCATTATCAGAGAGTTTTGAGCTATATATTCTAGAGAATTCCAAATTAATTAAGTGCCCATTTCTGTGTTCCTCTCAAATTCATTTTCTTGGTCCCCTTTAAAAATAAAACTAGCTTTCATTTGACCTTCAAAGATCCATCTTCTCCATTCCCATGCTGTACAGATGAACAGGTAAGTGGGTGAAACTATTGAGTTCCTCAGGAAAGAAAATTCCAGTGGCTTTTAGCTCTTTAACTCTCACAGTCTCCAGTCTGCTCTTTCTATTCTTTTTCCAACCTCAAGAAAGAATAGTCACAACTTTTTGCCTGAAGCAATGCCTTGAGAGTAATGGCTTCTTTTGCTCACATGATTGGAACAGTTCTACAGACTATAGTGTCGCAGTGACAAGTATAATGATCTGTCCTCTCTTTATTGCTGTAAAAGGACTGACAATGGTCTAAGACTTGTCGGTTTGGTCTTTTGCAGGGCGTGAATGGCGTTGTCCAGTACCCAAAGGGATTTCTGAAGGAAGTCTTTGAGCTGGTGCGAGAGAGGGGAGGCGTATGCATTGCAGATGAAGTGAGTGGCCACACCAGGGAGCAATGTAGTGCAGTACGAACAGGACAGGTGCAGAAAGAAAGCTTTTCAAGGCCTCTTTGATACTTTACGAAGAAAGCAGCAAGTGCATGAATTTCTGGAGTGCAGCCATAAACTAAAGACTGCTGGTTTGTTAGAAAATTAGTCAGATTAGCAAATAAAACAGAACCTAAGCATCCAAACTGGTATTTATTACATAAGCTGATAGCACATGTAAGTGATGCTACTGTTACTCAATGTGCTTTTACTATTGGTGATGGTGGTGGTAGTATTACTATTCCTTTCTGAGAACTGCTCCTGGAGCCCAACAAGCCATGCAGGAAATTGTATCTCATAATCTAGTGTTAATCTTAATTTTTTCCAAAGTGATGTTAGCTAGATTATTTTTTTTAAGTAATAATAATAATCCAGCCTTGAAATTAAAAGATTTCTCCCACTGCGGATATTCAGGAATAGTTCCCCAAACTTGCGACATATCACAGTTGAGGCAGTCCCACTGAAATAAGTACATTGTAGCCCTAAGAGAACTATTTCAAAAGGACTAACACTCACTGGCTTGGTGAGCTCTAGCCCATGTATTTAAAAATGATCTATTTACCTACATTTATACCTCATATTAGAGTATACCGAAGAAAGCAGTCTTTTGTCTGTTTAAAATAGTATTGGAGATAAAAGACCAGAGAATGGTATCCAAGGCCATGGAAGTCCTCCCACCTCACAGCTGGGACAGGCCTAACGGGTGTTTAGACTCTCCAAGAACAACTGGGGAACTTGTGTGTCTCATACCTGCTCCAGTCCTGCCTTCCTTTACTTATCCGTTTTCCTCAGCTCAAAATTCCACACAGTTGCTGCTGGGCTACTCACTTGGCAGGTACTTGGTAACTGCTAGCATTTCTTGTGTACCCAGGTCTCTGTTATGCCCGGAGTGCACTGAGAAGCCAGGGGCATACCCTGGCAGCTGGAGCAGCCTCTGCCTGCAGTACTCTTCCTCCCTCCCTCTTGCTAGTGAACTAAACAAGCTAAAGAAAGCTAACCTGCCATTAACAGAAGAAGAAAACTGTATTCAATCAGTTTGAAATTAGCTGCCTTGAAAAAGAGGATAAACTTTGGCCTTGGAATCAACATAATTGAGGCTTGCCACAATCAAGCTAATTAGAAGGAAGGTAGGCTTAATTCAAAGAAAATGAGAATTTTAGAACTGTCCAAGAAGTATAGCTGCATGGCTTTCTCTTTTTCTTTTTTTCCACCTACCCCCACCCCAGTTTCCTTACTTTGAAGAACATAACTAGAAACTGTCTCACTCAGGCAAACTTAAGAACTATGCTAATAACAATAGGCTAGTAACAGAGAGTCAGCATCCAGAATCCCAACCCTGCACTGGCATAGACCCATGGGCCCACCTGTTCCACTCCCTAAAGTATATTATTCATCCTGAAAACATGAGTTTATAAATGCTAGAATGATCCATCTGTCCCACTACATATGATACTCGTGGTTCCTAGGTGACTAATAATGCTTTATTCTATAGGACTTTATGTACTGCCCAAGGAAGTTGTTTCACTAGTTGTGCCTTGTTTAAAATATTTTATTATTTTTACTTTATGGGTATGAATTTATTGCCTGTATGTATGTAAATGTACCCGTGCCATGCAATGTCCACAGAGGTCAGAAGAGGGCATACCCTGGAATTGGAGTTAGGATGGTTCTTAACCACAATGTGGATGCTGGAAATCGAACCTGGGTCCTCTGCAACAGCAGCCAGTGCTCTTAATGGCTGAGCCATCTCTCCAGGCCCAGTTGTACCTTTTATTTATAACACTTAAGACAGATGGGGAGAAGAAAGAATACAGGCAGGAAGACAAGTAGATGCACTTTCTTGCATTAGCTCATTTGGGTCAATTAATCACTTTTCCCAGAGGTCCATTACTAGGAAACAAAAGCCCCAGGGTTCCAACAGCTCTGTCAGACTCCGATGCTCTGCTCTGCTCCTCCATTGGTCACTGTCACCTAAGAATAATCTGCAACCTTGATGCAGCAACCTGCAAAGAGGAAATGAGAAGGGGGCCTTAGAAGGAAATGTGCTCTTTCAGCTGCATTAAAGACCACGATTCAGATGTAATTCCACCTTGTCAAGTGTGCATGTGTGGAGAAAGCCAGAGCCAGAGCCAGAAGGAGAGCAAGGATCTTAACCAGAAGTCTCTAGCAGAAATTAGTCTAGAGATGTTCATGAGACATTTACATCACTCTTTCATTCATTCTACAAACACTGTCTACTTCAGGTAGAGGAGAAATGAGATGGGGCCCCTGCCTTCAGATACAGACATTGGTGATAAGAGTCCACAGTGAGCAACTCCCATGCCCAGTATGCCTTGAATGGAGCCTAGTGGGACTCAGGATGATGAAGATGGGTTTTGAAACACAAGAAGTCAGTGAAAGTAAGGACAGCATGACCAAAAAGGTCAACTTTTAGTCAATGTACAACAGGTTCTAGGTTAAAGATGCTCAGCCCTGAGCTCACGGCTCAGCTAGGCCCTACTCATGATGCAGTAAGATAGGAAGGCAACCATTCTCTCCCACTGGGTGACAGGTGCCCAGCTCCACTGTACAGACAGTAACTCTTGCTTCCTCCAGTGTGGGCCAGAGCCAGCTTTTCCACTTTTCTCTCTGGCTGCCTTGTGCACAGGCTAGTTAATCATGATACCTTTTACATGTGTTATTTATGTAACTCTCAAGCAGCCCTTGCTGTGCTATGCTTAGATGAGTATTTCTCCTTGATAGGTGAATTAACAAAGATGCAAAGGTCATAAAGAACACTTCCAGAATCTCACAATACTAGGAAATGATTTTTTGTACTCTCAAGCTCAAGACAGATTGAGGGTTTTGTCCATGATTGTACAAGTATTGACTTCTCAATACTTGTACAAGGAGAGAGAGAGAGAGGGGGAGAGAGAGAGAGAGAGAGAGAGAGAGAGAGAGAGAGGAGGAGGGAGAAAAGGAATAAAACAGAGACTCGAAGGTTTCTGATGATTTTTAATCTGTTTTCAGGTGCAGACGGGATTTGGAAGGTTGGGCTCTCACTTCTGGGGCTTCCAAACCCAGGATGTGATGCCTGACATTGTCACCATGGCTAAAGGGATTGGGAATGGCTTTCCCATGGCAGCAGTTGTGACCACTTCAGGTAAGCCCTCCACCAGTTTCTTGCTTGCTCCTGGGCCTCCAGCTCTGGCAATAGTTACAAAGCTTGTGGGATGGAGCGTGCCTAAGTTAGAGGAAGTGACAGGAACCTAATGATACATTTCCCAAGCTAATAAAAGATAAAAGCTGTTTGCTGATCCATGAAACAAGATGGAAGACAGCCAGCTAGCTGTTCTGTCCCTGCTGGAGGAAAGATGACTTCTTCCATGACAACAGTTAAATGCAGAGTTCTGCACACTGACAAGGGTTAGGAAAACGCACTACAGAAATCAAAACAAAACCAGCCCTGAAACTTCTAAAAAGAGTCTTTTCTTGAAAGAGACTCTTACATGGATACTTGCTTTTCCCATGCCAATAAACTACACATTCAAGGTCCGGTCCAGATTTCTCTGGAAATGTCCCATCAGCCAGAAAGTCAAATACAGTAAAATCTCACTTATTCAGAACAAGATATGAAATAAACATTAGCACTGAATCTTTTATTTTTAGTGAGACTATGCAGGATATTATTTTTTATGAACCATTTATTGTTGAAAACTATTTTATTTGTATTTCCCACAAATACTTAGCAGATTTCTGACCCATTAAATAATTAAGTACATTGAAATATCTGTTTTTGTTGAATGAGTTAAAGTACAAAAATAGTTATTAATATATATGGAAATATAATAATGAAATCCATTACTTTCCGTAATCATTATATCTCAATCTAAAAACAAAAAAAAACTGTGATTATAGAATGTGAACCATAATAAACTAACATGGAAAGAATCCAGAATTTTGTTTCTGAATCCTTCACATGAGATTATTTTCTTGATATTTCCTTCTTAGTCTCTAGAGTAGAAATCGGGGTGGGGGGAGTCAGCTAATTGAAGAGTTTATACAAACTTCTATTTGTCAAGTTTTAAGAAACTCTCTAATTCACATCACATGTTGAAGATTTTATCACCCATGTCATTAATTAAATAAAGTATTTTCCTTATTTAATCATTTTATTAGTCAGCTCAAACTGTCCAAACAAGATACCACAGGCTAAGTGGCTTAAACAGAAACTTGTTTTCCCGCAGAAGAAAAGGTTAGAATCCTAAGGTCAAGGTGCTGGAAGGACTGGGTTCTGCCAAGACTCCTTTTCTTGGCCTGCAGGTGGCCACCTGCTCATTACATGATCACATGGCCTTTCCTGTATGTTCCCACAGAAGAGAGATGAAGAGCATTCCAGAACCTCTCATTGTTAAAGACACTGTCCTATTAGACCTTCGTCCCTGTGGTTCATTTAACCTTAATGATTCCTTTAAAGACTCAGTCTTCTAATACGGTCATATTTGGGCCTAAGATTTCAAGGGCAAATTGTTAAGAGGACACAATTTAGTCCATAACATCCACAGTTAGGTGAGTGAAGAATGAATCAAACTGATGCTATTTACAAAGTGAAAGTGAGTGTGATCCCAGTGGTGAGATGGGAGGCAATGGGTAAGACTGCGTCACTCTCTCCACCTTTATTTTCCATCCTTAGAAATTGCCAAATCATTGGCTAACTGCTTACTTCATTTCAACACCTTTGGAGGAAGCCCCTTGGCCTGCGCCATTGGATCTGCCGTACTTGAGGTCTGTCCTATCCTTCATCTCAACAACATGCATTTCACTAAGCAACTTTTTGCAAACCACATATTTTATCAGAACTCTATCACATTGCACTAGCAAAGTGAAAGTTAATTAGTAATTCACCAACTTAAATTGGTTTCTATTTATTATTCTGTCCTCCTCTTTTTTTTTCCAAGTTTTATTTTGAATGCTTGAAGTAAGAGGTAATAAACCATCCTCACCTTATGGGAAATATAAGAATTGCCCAGGCCACATGGTAACACTGAATTTTTCTTATTTTCCAGATGGTGTTTGATATATAGCTATTGACAATTATCATCTTTTTTATTAGTTTTGGCCCTTATAGTATATACTTTTTCTTCCCTTTCTTGTCATAAGTGAATTAACTATAGAGAAGCTAAGTTTTATCTGAGTACGCCTGCATACTTCAGCTTTTCTGAACAACAGTTGAGGCTTATACCATTGACTTAATTTAGTATCAGTTTATTCTTATGATATTTTTATTATTTGAAAATTTCACACACATAACATATTTTTATTGAATCCACCCCCATTCCCTTCCCTCTAATTCCTCAACTGTCCTCCCTGCCACTTTCCCTTCCAACCTAGTGTGGTCTTCTCTCAAATACATTGCGTCCACTGTATATGCATGGGTAGAGAACAGTCTTCTGCAGCATGGGTAAACTCTTGGAGGCTGCATCCCTGAAGAAAACTGCCTCTCCCTCCCCCAGCAACCATCAATTTCCAATAGCTTCTCCGCGGGGGGAGGAACTTCATGACTCCCTCCCCCATCAATGCTGGAGTTTTGGCTGGCTTGATCTTGTGCAAATCTTGTGCATGCAGTCACAGCTGCTGTGAGTTCATGTGTGCAAAAGCCCTGTCATGTCTGGCAAATACTGTTTCACTGTAGATGTACACTACTTCTGGCTCTTACAATCTTTCTGTCTCCTGTGATTATCCCTGAACCTTGGGGGAAGAGGACTATGATACAGACATCACTTCTAGAGCTGAGCACTCCTGTTTCTTATTAACTACATGTTGATCAGTTGTGGGTTTCTTCATTAACTGTCATCTACTGCATAAAGAAGCTTCTCTGATGAGGGTTGAAAGATGCACTCCATAGGCCCTAGGGGAGAATCTAATATTATTCTGCTAAACGGGCATAGTAACTGACTGCCCCCTAAGTAGTTATCTTTATTAGCTTATTTTTATATTGAAAGATATCTTTTTGGTAAAATGTCCTTTCCAAACTGTATATCATTTAGTTAAATAAGTACAACGTATTTCTGGAAGAATATCCAGAAAGTTTAAAACTTTAGTTTGCAGGAAGAGAAACTTTGCTGGGGTCAGAGGTCAGTATGAATCATTCTCCTGTTTACATTCTCATGAGTTTTGAACTATGAGTATGATTCACATATTCAAGAAATTGCAAACTTTTAAATAGAAATAAAGAAGTTAAAGCTATTCTTACTAATTAAACACTTTTCTTCCAATATGATTAAATCATGAGATGTGAGAGTGTGGGTAGAAATGTGTCATTTATTTCATTGTGTTGAAACTTAATTTTTAAGTGTTATGCCATCTCAACCAATTTAAATGGGAAAGAAGGTTTGGCTCAATCAATAGATCTTCAAAACATTAAAATTGTCCTGGAGTCATGCAATTATTACTAGCTAAGGATAAATGTAGTATATTTCATGTGTCTTGTCAAGCATCACAGGTGTTATAGGGCTGGGAAGATGACTCAGCGGGTAAATATGTCTGCTGCCAAGCCTATCTCCATGATTCACATGGTGGAAGGAGAAAATTTTCTCCTCATAGTTATCCTCTGACCACCACACTTGCACCATGTGCCCACACACATGCACAAAACAAATAAAAATGTAATTTAAAATGTTTAAAATAATCACAGGTGTCAGCTGTGAGTAGAACTTGGATGAAAATCATTTTATACTTTAGGTGCCCTGGCTACAGATGCACATGGAGCTCAGGTTAGCTAAGGGAACAGGGCCCCACATTTGGGGTGCCTGGGTTATGAGAGACTATGCCTGGCCTAGGGAAGTCACTACCCTTCATGAGGAAATCACCATGGGGATTTCTTTCCCCAGAGCATTTATCCTCTTCACTTCTGTGTCCCAGTTCTCAGCCAATCCTAGCAAAAACGAACTTGCAGATTGTGGAATATATGCCCCTGACTGCAATGAGATTATACCTTTCCTGCACTCTTACTTGCCTATACAAGTAAACAGTTTCAGGGAATCCACTACATTATTCTTTTTTTTTCTATTGAGCTTTTAAAACTTCATACATCATTTCCCACTTAAATCCAGACCCCCTTCCCCATCTATGACCTCCCCCACCACCAAACCCTATGCACTCTGCCATACATGCTGAATCCTATTCATTCAGGTGTTTGTACCCAAATGTCCTTCAGTGTAAATGCATTCACTGGGGTCTAGTCAGCCCATCCAGTGGTCGTATACAAGTCATACTCTCTCTCACCCAGCAGCTGACCCGCCACCTATTTCTCACCTCCCCTTTGGGCACTTGTTTAACTGAGCTGACATGGGTCTGTCACTGGACGACACCCCTGCCACGGGTGTACATGAGCAAGCTTCCTTTGGCCTGGAAGCCTCCACCTCATACATTCATGAACCAGCCCTGGTTCTTACAATCTTTCATCCTCCTCTTCCACAATGGTCCCTGAGCCATGGATGGGTGAGGTTCCATATAGGAGTCCCATCCTACACTCTACAGTCTCTCATTCTCCAAAGCATTCTTCACAGCAGACTTGCATGTAGTCCCTGGTATGTCCACCGGAGGCTCCGTTCTAGGTTCTATTTGTCTAGTTGTTACTGTAAAAAGGGCCATTGGTATTGTGCTTCTCATTCAGTCCTACCACTTTTGCCCTGCCCTATAATGTCACTGAAGACTTTCTTTCAACAGGTGATCAAAGAAGAAAATATGCAGGAAAACAGTCAAGAAGTTGGTACCTACATGTTACTGAAGTTTGCTAACCTCCGAGATGAGTTTGACATCATTGGGGATGTCCGAGGCAAAGGCCTTATGGTAGGAATAGAGATGGTTCAGGACAAGGTAGGTTCTGATCTACTGCTCTAGATGGCTGCTGGGGACCAGTAGGAGTTAACATAGGAAGCTAATGGCAGAGTTCATGCAGATGGCAAGACTCAGCAAAGCCCTTAAGAGGTCGGTGGGGACTGTTACATGTGAAGAAAGTGCAAGATCATAGAGAATTCTAGGAAGACAAGGAAGAACGATTGGAAAAAGGAGCTGGTGCTACTCTTGCAAAAGGAGTCAAAGAGCATTTGCTGGACACTGGACACTTAAAAATATGACGAAGAGAAGAAATTATTTGGGGACGGGCAGGTGGGACAGAAGGTTAGGAGAAGTGAAGAAGGATCAGGAAAAGGATATGGGTGAACGTTTGAAATGAGGACTTTTTTTTTCAACAGAAAAATTGGCTGATATCAAGCTAAATCAATGGGATAGGGCTAAACAGTTGTTCAGGGGTAGCCAAATTACCCATCTGTATTCAGATAAAATGTAGTTTCTCTGTAGATCTTTCATTTAGGACCCCCAAAAAGGAAGAAAAAGTACATGCTAAAAGGTGACTAGCTGCTACTGACTATAGTAAAACATGAGCAAGGCCCACAAGGAAGGGGGATAGGAACCCCTGAGGGAACAGCACTTTGAACACACTGAAGGGAACCCTCCTCCACCACAGGGGGCTGGCTAACACAGGAGCAGGAGCAGGGCTCATGCATCTAAACCCAGGAAGTCAGGCCTAGTGTTGATGCTCCCTAGGGATGCTCTGTGAAAGAAAGCAGGAACACCAGGGGCAGCAAGGGCACTGAAGGTTCAGAGAAGGAAGATTAGAAGACTTCCCAAACTAGGCACTTAAGGAACAATTTTTCAATACAGATACTGAGCTCTGTCCCAAGTGTTCTAATTTGTCCTAACATGAGACCCAGATCTTTGTCGTGTGAAAGGCTCCCAGGTAATAGAGGTAAACTTGGACTCGAAATGGCTAAATTAGAAGGAAATGTTTTTGCTTATAGACTGAGATGGCAGGGATACACAGAAACTATGCAAGCCCTGGCCCAGTGTCACAGAGGTGAACTAACATGCCTAAGCCCCTGGTAGGGGACCAACCAGGATGTCTAGAGATCTGACCCAGCCTCTTGGCTCCCAAGCACTTACTTTTCTTGACCCTGAAAGATGAAGTCTACTGAGAAGAAGAGCAAATTCTACAAACATGGAAGGTGACTGACCTCAGATCAGTTCCCAGTCATGCAGTGACCAGGAAGTGTTTAGCTACTGGTACCCTTATGCAACTTCTAAGCCACTTCCTGGACTTTGAAATGAGCTCCTTAGTTGGGTAAAACACTGTGAAGCACTGAGGAGCATTTCAACATAAGCAAACAGATCCCATCTTCAGCTATTATAGGACCAAACTCCCAAGGTAGCCATTAGCAGATTCAGGATTCCCTGGATATCTTCACAGAACTTAAATTTGTCTTCCAGATTTTTGGATAAAATAGAATAGAGGCAAATAATTTTAATAGCCCTCCAAGTCTCTGGTTCAGCAATTAACAGCTTTATTTAATTAAAGAGACATCGATTGCTTGAGTTTTGTTTTGTTGTGGTTTCCCCTCCCTTGGGAAATAATTCTTCAAACCATTCTACATCAAACAGAAAATATTCTTTAAATGTATTCACAGAGGAGCCGCCGGCCTCTTCCTCTTAAAGAAGTAAATCAAATCCATGAGGATTGTAAAGACATGGGGCTTATAATGGGCAGAGGTGGCCCTTTTTCTCAGGTAAGAGAAAGACTGGTGTCTGCCTGTCAGGTGTTGCTCTGGTGTGCCACTATGCCGGGCAACCCAGCTGTACTTCCTCTAGGTTATGAAACTGCTGTCATAACAAAAGGACACAGAAGACTGTCCATTAGAGGGTGATGTGGTAAAATGGTTTGGTTATCATGTTCTGTGGCCAAAAGATACAGAGGTGTGCACACAGCCAAACCAGACAACTTATAGTACGAGTGATAACAGAGTCATAACATTCATGCCCAGAACTCTGATTTTTGTGAACTGGCTCAGTTTTAGTGACCATTATGGCAGGGAGCAACCCAAGATCCTTGGCCACCCCAGACAATCCCTGCAAAAAAGGTCAGGGAACATTTTAGGTATGGTCCCTGGTTCAGGACTCAAGATTGGCCACTCCCAGTACCCTCTACCTTCAGCTAGGATACTCAGGGTATACTTAGAGCGCACCCAACTCCTTTCCTGGAAAACCTAAGCACCATTCCACCATCAGAACTTTACTTGGCTCTGTGCTACAAGCCTGGGTTGCTGCTGCTAAGGAGTATGACCTGCCTCTAAATCCCTCAAACCATCAGGCCTCTCTGCAGGGATAGGCTCCATGGTAGAGATTTAAGAGAGACTGTGCTTCTGATCCCTCCCCTGACTGCTCTTTGCCTTTTATCATTTCTCTTGCACATTTCAAAATATTTTTATCTTTCATGACACATAACAGTTGCACATATTTACAGAGTACCAAGTGATGCTTCAATGTATGTAAAGGGTTTAAGTCTAAGAGATGATGCTTCTCTCTCTCCTCATATATCACTTCTTGGTAGTGAGAACATTCAAAATCACTTCTTCTAGCTTTTAGGAACATACAGTGCATTGTTGCTTCCTGTAATGACCCTAGTGAAACAGGACACCAGAATTTCTCTCTATTAAATGTAATTTAATATTTCTGCCCACTTTCAATACTTATTCTTCTCAGTTTTTATGCTCCCTTCCTGGCTGTCACAATTTTTATGAACACTGAAATGTTCACTTCTTGCCTCATACTTGTCAGAAAAAATCAAAGCTATCAGACAAGATCTCCCTTTAAATACTAGAAATTATTTTCTGTTCAAATTAGATAGTATAACTCAATTATTAAAGTCCAAAGTTATTTTTTTTATTTTTTATTGAACTTTTTTACATTTCATACAACAGTTCTTAATCAAATTCAGACCCCCTCCCTATCCATGCCCCCCACTCTCCTCACTGGACCTCATGTATTCCACCATACATATTAAGTCCTATCCAATCAAGTATTTGTACCCAGATGTCCTTCGGTGCAAATTCATCCACTGAAGTCTACTCAGTCTATCTAGAGATCATTGGTAAGGCCTATTCTCTCTCACTGAGTAGTAATCAGTATCCAATAGTTCCCAGACTAAGGCTGACTCACCACCCATTTCCCTTGCTTTACTCTGGCCCCTTGTCTTATTGAGTTGGCATAGGTCCTGTGCTCGATGCCACCACTGCCGCAAGTTCATATGTGCAAGCTTCTGGTGACCTGAAAGCCTCTGCTTCCCTATGTTCATGGACCAACCCTGGCTATTACAATCTTCCCACCCCCTCTTCCACAATGGTCCCTGTACCATGTGTGGGAGAGGTTTGATATAAGAATGCTATCCAGGGACACACACTGCAGCCTTTTATTCTTTAAAAGTTGGCTAGTTGTGGCCTTTTGTGTGCATCTCACTCTGTTGTATAAGGAAGCTTCACTGGTGAGAGTTGACTGATTAGTTTTCTCTCTACCTCCCATTCCACTATGTTCCATGAGTCTTAGGTGTAGAGGTTCAATTGTAGATGTGTCACCTAGGACTGGGCATTTGTGTCTGACCAGTTGTGGGATTCTGCAGTAGCCCCATCTGTTGCGGAAAGAAGCTTCTTTGATGAGTGGTGTGTGGTACACTTGTCTGTAAATATAAGGATCCATATTTAGCATATGGTAAGAAATTTCATTTGTCTAGAGATATGGCAGAGTTAGGGTTTTCTCTAGGATCTCTGACCTCTCCAGCCATGTGTATTTGAGTCTGTTTACAGTGCCGCCCATGAGTTCACTCCCATTGAGAGGGTTTTAAATCCAATTTGATAGCTATTGATTACCCCCAGATACCAATACCACTACTGCACCAATAGAGGTAGCTTACTGTGCTGGTCGTTATGGGTATCAAGCTTTAGGGATAGGTTGAACAGTGATTGAGTTTTCTCCCTTAGCAGCTTGCATAGTATCCTCCAGACCTATGAGAGCTAAAACTTCAGGCAAAACAGTTGTTCTTTTGTTCAGCTATTCATTCGTTTTATGGCAAACATTTATTACAAGTGCCAAGCAGCAGGTGATATCCTGGGAACTAAAACTACAATGATAAATAAGTTCTGATATCCTTGTTCATCAAGATTATATAAGAGAAAAACATACAAGACACGCACTTTAACCAACTAAGCAATGGAGTCAAGCACGTAAGAGAAAAACATACAACAAAAAAATTACAATACAATATATTAAGCTCTTCTACAATGATAAAATGAGATGTTATACAAAAAAGAACAGGTACATAGGTCAGTCGTTCTGGCTAGCAGAACATTAACTAATCATACAAATGGTCACAGCATGTATAGGAATCTGGCAGAATGCAGAGCCACACTGGTGTTGCTGGAGCATAAGGCTTGAGGCAGTGACTGGGAACAGTAAGAATCTCTGTCTCCTTGTCAGGCACTGTTCTCAGCATGTTGCGTTATTGACTTATTTAATGCCCTCAACAAGCCCCATAAAAGGATCATCTTTCTACAGATTTAAAAAAAGGTAGAAATATATTAAATAAATTGCTCAAGCTGGTGAGTGACAGAATTAAGGTTGAAATTCAAGTAGCTGTCTGTGAGAAACACGCCTAAGAAACAAGTCTAGAGGCAGGGAGTCTGGGTGGGGGCTCAGGATGCTGTCTCAACTTCAGCAGTGATATTGGGGATAGAGTGTACATCCTGACAATTTCGGAAGTAAAATGCCTGACACTTGGATGTGAAGGAGCAAACATTCAAGGATGAAGCCTTCATGTCTGACTTGGTTTAGGGTGGGCATGAACGCATTCAAGTTTGAGCATGTTCTATTTGAAGTGTTTATGAACATCCGGTTCTGTATTTGAGTCTGCAGCTCAGAGGAAAGGACTGCAGTGATGCCTATAGTTCAGAGTCATCAGCATGTAAGTGGTTAAGATGAGAAAATGTGTAGGGAAGCCTAGTGTCCCAGTGAGAAGCTTAGGGAGGTGAGGAAAGAATCCTAGGAACACCTCCCTTCAATAGTCAGAATGGAAAGGGGCCCAAGTGGATACAGAAAATGGCCAATTGTATGAGGAGAGTGAGGAGAGTATGGGATTATGGAAGCAGGAGACAAGGCAGGTCAGGAAGAGGGAAAGCACAGGTGTGAAGTGCAGCAGAGATGACCAGGAGGGACATGGGCTGAGAAATGCCCAGTGCTGGTAACATCAATATAGTGATATAAGTTGAGAGGGACAGAAAGCATGCTGCAGTGGTTTGAGGTGTAAATAGGGGAAGATGGAGGGAAAGACAAAAGCCAGTAGGCATTAGTCAGTCTTTTTAATACATTTGGGTAAGAACAGGAAGAAAGCATACGTATTGTAGCTGTAAGGGACTGGGAGTCAAAACAGAGTTTTGCTTGTTGTGATCTGAAGTGGGATTATGGAAGCTTTAAGCCTCTTGTTGCCACAGGCTGAGGGGAAGCTGAAGAAAATGTCAAAGACAAAGAGAACACAGGGATGTTTCCTGCAATGAAAGTGATGATCCTGGTCCAAAGGTCTCAGTGGACAATTTAAAGCTGAACAATAAAGACACAGTCTCTGAGGCTTTAAGAAAAGATATAGTAATGTCTGTGAGAACAAACTACCTTATAGAAATATTTTGTCTAGGAAGTTCAATTTTCTTTAAAGAAATAGGAGTCACGATTATTTATGAAATAGAGTGAGGTTGGTATACAAGTTGATAAAAGAAACAGAAGAAAATTCAAGGTTTAGAATGAGAAGAAAGCTAATAGAGGACAAGAAAAATCTCAGGAACCAGCAGAAATTGGAGACCCTGAATATCTGGTATATCTATTGGACCTTCTGCGTGATGCTCTGACACTTCTCAGCCATGTGTGCAGGAGCAAAGCAGTTCATTTACAGTTCTAATCAGCATTGAGACTTGACCACATGTGTAGTCAACATCAGGGTGGAAATGTATGGGAAAGAAATGCATGAGGGGGTAAGAGAGAGAGCAGCTCAGTTACTTAGGTTCTGTAAGCTGCATGAAAATGGAAGAAAGTGATCTCAGTGGGGCAAAGGGCCAGAAAATAATGAGGGAATAAAGAGACTATAACTTCCACAAGAGTGGTGGGAATGATGGGAAGCAGCATTGGTCTATTCCAGGTGAAGAAAAGGCCATGCACTGGCCTTGGTCATAATCAATGCAGACTAATGGCCATGAAGGCTCTGGGCGTTGTGGTAATTAGGAAAGTCACTGCTCTGTGTTCACAGAAATTTGGTATAGAAATGGGGGTGTAAGATCTCAACAACGGTGACACAGGGACCAGGAGGTAAATAGATGGCATAAAAAAAGCAAGATGGTATAAGGATTTGTGCAAAGGCTAGAGGATGAAGGACCTGGATAGAGCCTGGGGAGGAAGGGGAGGATGGTAACCCAGTGAGACAAGTGTAAGAAATACAGTAAAAACAAGGTTTGAGAGTCTTAGTTTAGCACATTTCCTGAAAGTTAAATTTGATTTTATAATGATTTGTTGCTCTATTTTCCTCTGTCTCCTCAGACTTTCCGCATCATGCCCCCAATGTGCGTCACTAAGCCGGAAGTTGATTTTGCAGTTGAAGTATTTCGCTCTGTCTTAATTCAACACATGGAGAGAAGAGCTAAGTAAAATTTTAGAAAGAAAGAACCACAAGCCTCAAGAACTTCTCACTTTGCATGAGGATGCATTTGGGGAATTTCAAAACGAGTGGGATTAGATGAAAAACAGCTCTCTGTGGTACTTATGAAAGATGTGGTTGACATACTTGTTAATATTTTGCCCCTATTCTCCGAGAATTCTATCTTGCAGGGAAAATCTCTATCCCTGACTCACAGAATAAGTCTTCATTAATATAGACTTGTATAGGATGATTTTATTTCTTTTTGTATTGACTGGTTTTTAAATGAATACATGGCATGTTTGTAGTCAATGTATACTGAGAGAAAATCTTTCTGTGGTGGTGGCATCTCTGGACAAAGGTTTCTTCACACTTGGCTCTTCAGTTCAAATGCTTCTTGTTGCACTGAAAACAATGCATGTCATGATGGGATTTCTCAACTCACATCAGGCATCTGGGCCCATGAAGGTACTTGGAAAGTGAATAAAAACTGAGTGGTTGGTAATGTCAATGACTCACTCACGACGAATCCTGGAGCCACCCTCTCTTAGAGATTCTTGGCATATAACATAATAAATTCATTGTGCTACTTAAGACATTTAATGTTTCCATCATTGCAGCCCAAGTCATCCTGAAAGATGATACAAAAAATACCTTTGAGAGATAACTGCATCCCAGACCTTTACTCCCTGAAACGTCTATCAGATTGGAGCCGTTTCCATGTTCAGCTAAAGCTTCATTTTTCCTACTGAGAAAGTCTCGGTGTACATAATTCCCCAAACTTTAGTCATTAGTATTGCAATCATAAATATTCTCCCATATAATTCTACCTTAGGTATGTCTTAGAGATAGCAATACTTTTCTCTAATTTGACTTATTCACTGAGTTGTATTTAACAGTAAGCTTTCTATAACTATCATAAATGAGAACTACTTGTGTCAGAAGTAAAAAGTAACCATGAAAAAAGCAAACAAAGCTAAAGAGACATCTCAGTCAGTCAAATTATTGTTGCAGAAGCATGAGGACCTGAGTTCAATTCCCCAGGTGTGATAGTGCAGACTTGTAGTCCTAGAACTGGGGAGGTAGAGACAGGAGAATCCCTCAGATTAATTTGTCAGTCAGCCTAGCCTAATTAGTAAATCCCAGGACAATGACAGACCGTGTCTCAAAAAAACAAGGTGGATAGTACCTAAGGAATTTAACCCCAGGTTGACCTCTTGCCTCCATGTATACCTTCACCCACGCACACATATACACACATATGTACACACAATAAATATATAAATGAATATTATTATTTTTTAAAAACAAAACACAAGCAATGCAATCCAATTCCCAGGAGATATAACTGCGTGCAAATGTTTTGAGTCTGATAACTCTCTTTCTTTGAAAATCTGAAGCCTGTTAAAACCATACTAGCAAACTGAGACTGTTTCCTAAACAAAAAACAAAGAGGGTCTAGAGAACTATAAGAGAAGTAAATTTCTCAGCATGTGACTGAATGCATATTTAAAACTGAGTCCCAGTTTGAAGCTGTGTCCCAATTGTCCTTCAGAGATGTTGCTTCTAACACATCCTACATCTTGCTACAGATTTGTTTCCATCAGGCATTGACTTAAACATAGCATTCCCTAGCACAAATTCTCCCATCATCCCTGCACCATCCCTCAGACAAGGTCAAAACTCCTGAGTAAAGAAATCCATGATCTCAGTATTCAAGTAGAGAAAACATGTTAGAAATATTTCAGATTAGCACCATGGAAACACCATTGGATTAAGAGTACTAATGACTTGAATTCTCTACTCTGTTCTACTTAATTTGCTATAAATGACCTTGAACAAGTCGTTTAACTCTAACCCCAGTTTCTACCTAAGTGTGTTTAAGTTTGCTAGATCCGTTTCTGTGCATGACTCTGCTCAGTTTCCTGTTGATGAGGAGACACAGGTACAGTAACTGCTTCTTGAAAAGTGGTAAAGATGAGCACGCACCACAGGTTAGAGGAAGAATGGAATATCTTGGGGCCTTAGAATGTGGATGGCCAATCATTTCTCTCCCTGATTTCTAAGCATTAACTAGGTTCCTTCTTGCCATGTGGAGTCGTGGGCAGGAGTTTAGTACCACCATTTCTCTCCCTTCCATTTTCTTCTCTGCCCACAGGAGGTGGATATAAACTAGTTTATATACAAGGAGCCCACATTCTTGCCAGCTCTTTTTTATTTCCTTTCTTGTTAAAACAGCCTAAAGTGAAGATAATGAATACTTAGCTCAAGTAGACTTTTTTCTACATAAGGAACAAATTGACAGTTAATCGTGTGATTAGAATACAGTATTAAAATTTTGGCAGCTACTTCAAAACATTTAAAATGCCAATCCACTAAGAAAAGAGTAAGCTGGGGTTTTCATTTTCTTCTTTTAATATTGAATTTTTACAATATATTTTGTTCATATTTAGAATCCCTCCCCTAACTACCCCCCCATGGATTTTGTGTACTCTGTCACATTTTTTTTTTTTAAATCCTACCGAGTTTATTGGGCTTGCTAGCAGAGCATAGGGTGGGGGATTTATTTACAGAAGAGTGGGTGCTCCTCCACTTAGGGCTGCACCGGAAAGTTCACACTCAAATATACACCCATGATGTCCCAACAGTGTCACAAAATCGCAAAGGAGGTGCCTTATGGCCCCTAGGCTTATATATCTTTAGCCCCTCCCACACAACCTTAGGCCTTCCCCCACATGCAGCTAAGGGTGGGAGGGGTAACTGGCTCTCCGTCAGCTCCTTGATGAGCAAGGGAGGGGTAACTGGCTCCCCATCAGCTCCTTGATGAAGTCAAGTTTGAATCCCAAATGTCCTTTGGTGGAGCCTGCTCAACCTGTCTAGTTACTCTTAAAGAAAACCAGCCCTTCTCCCCTAGTTATAGGTTGTCAATAGTTGCTCAAATAAGATTGGGGCTTCTTACCTACTTCCCCACTTCTATGCTGGGATTTTGACTGGTTTGAGCTTACATGGTTCTGGTGCATGCTGTTACCCCCTTGTGTAAGTTCATAAGAGTAACTTTCCAGCTGTCTGGAAAATCTATTTCCTTGTGGTCATCCACCACCTCTGGCTCTTAATCTTTCCATCCCCTCTTCCACAGTGGTCTCTGAGCTTTGGGTAGCAGAAGAAGAAAGACCTCCCATGTTCATGGATTGGTAGAATGAATATTGTGAAAAATGACCATTCTACCAAAAGTAATTTATAGATTCAATACAATCTCAATCAAAATCCTCATGACATTCGTCACAGTAATATAAAAATATCTTAAAATTCATATGGAATTACAAAAGATCCTGGATGGCCAAAGCAATCCTGAGCACAAAGAGCAATGCTGGGAGGATTACCGTACCAGATTTCAGACTATAATACAGAGATGTACTCATAAAAACAGTATGATAGTGGCACAAACAGACATGTAGATCAATGGAACAAAATAGAAGACCCAAACATAAGTGCATACAATTTCAGCCACCTGATATTTGACAAAGATGCCAAGAACACACACTGGAGGAAAGACAGCATCTTCAGCAAATAGTGCTGGGAAAACTGGTTCTTCATTCATAGAAGAATTACATTAGACACATATTTATCACCCTGAACAAAAGTCAACTCCAAATGGATCAAACTCCTCAGTGTAAAACCTGAAATGCTGAAATTATGAGAAGAAAACATAGGCAATACCCTACATGATATAGGTGCAGGAAAAAACTTTCTAATCAGATTTCAATTGCTCAGGCATTAAGGTCAACAATTGACAAATGGGACCTCATTAAACTAAGAACCTTCTGTACAGCAAAGGACAACAATAAAGTGGAGAGCAAGCCCACAGAGTGGGAGAATATCTTCACCAGCTTTACATCTGACAGAGGATTACTATCCAGAATATACAAAGATCTCAAAAAAAAAAAAAAAGAATCAAGAAAACAAATAACCTAATTTAAAAACGGGCTATGGATCTGAACAGAGAGTTCTCAAAAGAAAAAAAAATTGGCTAAGAAATACCTTTAAAAGTGTTTAACATCCTTAGTAATTAGGAAAATGCATATTAAATTACTTTATGATATCATTTTACCACAGTCAAAACGGCTAAGATCAAGAGAACAAATGACAACAAATGTGGTGAGGATGCGGAGAAAGGGGAACCTTCATTCACTGCTGGTGGGAAACTGGTGCAACCACTGTGGAAATCAATGTGGAGAACTCTTTAAAAACAAAAGTAAATCTACCACATGATCCAATTATACCACTCCTTGCCATATACCCAAAGGACTCAATATCTACTACAGAGATACCTGCTCAGCCGTGTTTGTTGCTGCTCTTCTCACAACAGCTAAGAAATGTAAATGATCTAAATTTCCCTCAACTGATGAATGTATAATAAAAATGGGGTACATCTACGCAATAGAGTTCTACTTAGTGGTAAAAAAATGAAATATGAAACTTGCAGATAAATGGTTGAGACTAGAAACCGTTATACTAAGTGAAGTAACAGAGACTAGAGAAACAAGCGATGCATATTCTCTCTCAGTTGTGGATCCTAGTTCCAAATCTTCAGATATGAGTATATATTCTAATGTAACCTTAGCAGCCAGGAACATGGAAAGGAACTACCGGGTAAAGGGAAGAAGTGAGAGACAGAGAAAGAAGGATAGTAGGAGACAGGTGTTAAAAGGGGGGGAAATGCTTTTTGATTATCCAGGGTCTTTTGTAATTCATATGAATTTTAGGATTTTTTTCTATTACTGTGAAGAATGTCACGAGGATTTTTATTGAGATTGCATTGAATCTATAAATTGATTTTGGTAGGGTGGTCATCTTCATAATATTAGTTCTACCTATCCATGAGCACAGGAGGCCTTTCTATCTCATGTCTTTCTCAATCTCCTTCTTCAAAGATTTAAAGTTTTCATTGTAGAAATATTTAATGTTTTTAGATAGGTTTGTTTCTAGGTATTCTAATTTTTGAGGCTATTCTAAATGAGAATGTTTCCATTATCTCTGACTGCTTCTTATTGATATATAGGAAGGCTAATGACTGTTGTAAATAGATTTTTGTATTGTACCATTTTATGAAAGTATTGATCATTTCTAGAAGTATTCTGGTGGAATTGTTGGGATATCTTATGTATAATATCACAGCACCTGCAAATAGGGATAATTTGATCTCTTTTTTCCAATTCTTACCCCTTTATTTTTTTCTTTTGTCTTACTGCTCTAGCTAAAGTTTCAAACACTGTATTGAAAAGGAGTGGGAATAGTGGACAGCCTTGTCTGGTTCCTGATTTTAATGGGAATGTTTCCAGTTTTTCTCCATTTAGAATGATGTTGGCTGTGAATTTGTTGTATATAGTCTTAATTATGTTTATGTATGTTCCCTCCCATCCAATTCCCTCTAGGACTTTTATCTTGAATGCATGTTGGATTTTGTCAAAGGTCTTTTCTGCATCTATTGAGATGATCATGTAATTTTGGTCTCTAAGTCCTTTATATGATTTATTACATTTATTGGCTTATGTATATTGAACCATCCCTACATCCCTGGCATAAACTAACCTGACCATG